CGTGGTCGTGTGTGTGTTGTTGTGTGTGTAGTGTGTGTGTGTGTGCTACGCCAGTGTTTTTATGAGCGGGCATAGGAATATAAATGTAACTCATAAGTTCTCCAAAGCAGATTAGACAGTGTTGGAGGAGAGGAGCTGCTAGTAGCGCTTGTCACACAGTTAAAATCTGGCCCCACGTAAAGTATTTTACAGCTATTTAGACAAGGCGAGGAGGCTGTGCATTCTCTTTGGCACTGTAGAGAGACAACAGCGAAACCAGTGTAGTCTGGGGAAGTCTTCCCTAGGGCTGAAGAATCTCCAGCTGTCTCCATTTCCCCATAAGAGGGACAGGAGAGGGTCTGCACCTTGACGTTTTGTCCATAGCTTCTCTGGATGAGGAATTCTTGTAGCCATTCCCTCCCTGTAGAGCTCCTTTCACCCAGGAGACGGCTGAACCCCCGACGGTGTTCATTCTTGGCCTCTACACTGAAGAAAGGGAGGCTGGGAAGTCTGCAAAACACTGTCGGGCCAGCAGTAGGCCGGGCAGAGCCTCTGGAAGAAGACGGACGCCTCAAAAGATGTGGTAGTGTGGTCGCCCAAACACCAGAGTGCTGGTTTCCACGACTGGCTCAGTCCAAGATAGAAGAAATTTTTGACCTTATGGTCGCAACCTAGGCTAAAGAGAGATACAGAAAGCCATCCTGGCAGTTCACGCATCTCATTGTTGAAAGTCAACGCACGCGCCCTATGATGGTGCACAAAATAATAGTCTTCCCAAAACCTCCCTCGCCGAAGGAACTGTCCTGAGGGAATAAGTGACAGTTAGAGGCCAACATTTACTGCAGGCATTTAACCCCTGTTGTGTCAGGGCATTTGGGCTAAATGCTTTACTTCATCTACCAATATTAATCACATAAAGAACCTGTTAGACGGTATGGTGCCTATTTGACAAAATGAGAGGAAATGATGGGGATAAGTGGTACTTCATCCTAATCGCGCGCAACTCCGTGGGAAAGCCACGATTTCCAAGCGGAGTCCTTACTTGAATACCCGAGTCTACATCTAGATATTCAATCTCCCTCGATGCCGCTGCGATAGAGCAAACTCACTTCCAAGAATAACCACATTATCATTAATCCACGGAAATGGTACGTATTGACACTTGGAAGTCATTTCCTGCCTTTTTTTCCGAAGGAAGAGCCAGTTTACCAGGAATCAACAGTATACTCACAACACTCATTGTTGGTTTGCCCTAATTAATGTCATAGCATTAAGAGTCTGCAACTTCTCAGGCCCCTGGTCCAGGCTGTACAAGGGAGGGAGGGAATGTGGTATTGAGTTGCTATCTCTCACAGACCTTAAGTGATGCTGTATTTATACTCTGTAGGGGAGGAGAGTACAATCTCAAATCCTAATGAGCTCTGGAACTAGATTATTTCCTATCCAGTTAATACCAGCTTAGCTGCAAAACATTTATTTGTTATTTTGAACATGGGGGATTTTACAGAGTCCACAGAGGCAAGAGCCCAGGCAGGCCATCTTCACACATGACCTACCTTAGAGCAGAGGCACTAATCACAGCACAGGGAATGGGGCAGAGGGCACAGGTGTGTCAGACCATGTGAATGTGGCTTTTCTGTATATTAAACACATCGAGCCCAGGTGCAGTGACTCACACCTTTAATCCTAGTGCTTTGGAAGGCTGAGATGGGATGATGGCTTGAGGCCAGGAGTTCAAGACCAGCCTGGGCAACATGCTGAGACCCTGTCTCTACAAAAAATAAAAAATTAGCTAAGCATGGTGGTGGTTCCTGCAGTCCCAGCTACTCAGGAGGCTGAGGTGGGAGGATCACTTGAGCCCAGGAGTTTGGAGTTCAAAGTTACAGTGAGCTATGATCATGACACTGTTCTCTAGCCAGCCTGGGTGACAGAGAGAGACGCTGTCTCCTAAACAAACAATAACAACAACAACAACAACAACAACAAATTGAAGCAGAGCCAAGAAAGAACCCCAAGACCTCCCAGGGCTGCCAAGACAAGCAGCAGTCCAAGCTTCTATCTGAGGGGGTAAGGGCACCTCCTCATTCCTCTCCAAAACTTCCTTAGAGGTCTGGAAACACTTTTCCCATGGTCCTCCTCTGTGTTTCCACAGTACCCTACACACGTGTCTATCATAATACGTCTTATGCTGTGTCATCATTGTTCCCATGGCTATGTCTCCTCTACCATAGTAATGTCATGGGCAGCTAGAGCAGCTTTATCTCCAGCACCTCACAGAGTGGCTGGCATTTCAATGGCGCTCTTAAAATGTTTTTCAGAAAGATGCAATGGCTTGCTGAATGGCTGGATGACTTGATGGATGGGTTGGTGGAGAGGGAATAAAGCTGTTAGCTTTGGATCGGGTGGTCGTGGGCATGGATGGCGTGGGTGAATGGGCTGGATGATGGATGGGTAATGGGTGCGTGGGTAGATGGATGGATGGTGGGTGGAATTGTGGTGCGTATGGATATGGGATGGAATGGGTCGTGGAGGAATGGGTGGGATGGGTTAGTGGGATAGATGGTGGTTTGGTCAGCTGTGTATCGAGCGCAAGAGGCGCGTGGGTCGAATGGGTGGTGGGTCTAGTTTGGTGGCGAATGGGATGGCAGAGAGAGGTGCGAGCGTGAATTTGGAGTGCAATGAGATATTCATCTGACTAGGGTGGGAGTAACTGAGACATTGAAATGGGCGAGGGTGAAAGATGGGTGGTGGTCTATGGCTCGATGTGAATGGGGGGGTGGAGAGAGCTAGGAGTAAAGACTAAATTATGGTGCTGTGAGTTAAATGATATGGATGAGTCTACGGAGAACAGAATGAGCTGGGTGGGTGGTAGGTGGACTAAAGAAAGGGTAGTCGTAACAGGTGGGATGCAGAGGAAATAGGATGAGATGGACTCGGTTGTAGTACGTGAATGTTCGGATGGATGAATGGATGTGTATTGCGTCGTAAGGGAGTGGAGTGAATTTGGTGCGACTTTGGGTGGTGAATGCGCTGTGAGTAGTGTAACTTGATGGGTGGGCTGGGTAGTGCTGGCTGGCACCTAGGTGGGAGCGGAATAGAAATCTGGGTGGGGTATGGGTCCAGGTGAAAGTGGGATGTTGGTGGGCTGGGTCACGAGTGCGATGGATGCCAGAATAGTAATGAATGGAGCTTGGATCGGTAGCAATGCAATGAGTGGGACGGTGCGACGAGTAGGGCGAGTGAATTAGTGGACTAGGATATGGTGAGATAAATGGATGGGAGGGTGAACGGGTGGGTGGGTAGGTGGATGGATGGGTGGGTGAATGGGTGGATGGATGAATGGGTGGGTGGGTGGGTAGGTGGATGAGTGGGTGAATGGGTGGATGGATAAATGAATGGGTGGGTGAATGGGTGGATGGGTAGATGGATGGATGGGTGGGTGGATGGCTGGGTGGGTAGATGGATGGATGGGTGGGTGGATGGACTAATGAACAGAGGCATTATTTCCTGCTTCTAATTTCTATAGCTTCTACTCCTGGAAGTAGAAATATTATCAAAAATTCTGTTTTCTAAATATTTTTGGACACATAAAAGCAGGAATTCATAAACCAGGATGTTTCTCTGAAAGCGCAAGGCGAGTTTGCACATCTAAAGGGGTTCAATAGTTCAGATAAGGCTCCAAACTTTGGGTACCCAATGTGAAGGACATCCATCCAGGTTCAACTACAGCTTGTTCACAGAGACCTAAAGTCAGCTTTGATTCTCCTCAAATTCCTGCACGTTTTGCTGATGCTGGGAAGATTTTAGGAGAAGTTACCGTAAAGACTTACACTACTTTTTGTTTCTTTTTTTTCTAATCATTCTAGGAAGTGCTGATTTACCCTCATAGGAACTTGGCAATACTCCAACTGCACCCACTCCTGTGTATCTACAAAGTGCAGATGGCAGAGTGAGAATAAGGATGAGAAGAAAAACGTAAAGGGCAGAGGGAGGAAATGGCAACAACAACAACGAAAATAATGTTAAACAGGAGGGTTCCCTTCTGTCCCTCTGGCTGAGAAATCACTCAAGATCCTGGTCCATTTCGGAGCTGTTCAGAACTGAGAGCTGTGTGCACACCCCAGAAAAGGACTTCCAAAGCCGCAAGGTAGCGAATGCAGGGTTTTAGCTCCTGATGTGATGAATGTGCATGCTAAAATTACCTTGATCTCCATTACCCAGCTGAGAGATGTCAAAAGAGTAAGGCTTTGGGAATGAGTCCGCCCCCGTGGCTTAAAAGCTTGCCTGTCAATCTACCCTAAACAAAACCTGCCTTGCCATAGACAGAGGAAAAGCTTTACCTCTGGAGGTGCAGCCATTGGCTGGGTCAATTTCCTTTCCGTCAACTTTAAATGCCCAGCGGCCTGGAACATTGACGTTTGTGGTCTCCTGGATATTCACGATCTCGGGGGTTCTTGACCCGGGGAGGCTGAAGAAATTGGTGAGGTTTCCACCATTAAATCCTGCCTGCAGCACAAAAGGAAGACAAGATTTTTTGAGTACAAAAATCCCCCATGGGTTAACTGGCCCTACTGTCTTATTTTTAGAATCCAGCACCTCTAAAATCAAGAGCCCTCTTTTCCTGGAGTCATTGGGGCCAGCATTCCAGGTGAGAAAGGACTGCCTAGTGCATTTCATAGCCGAATCTGGGTGCCAAACATGGGCAGGACTAGCCTCATAGTACACCTGCGAGATCAGACGTGCGTCTCTAGTTAAAAGCTGGTGGCAGGATTCCCTCCAGAATGCTGAGCCACAGAAGCAGAGAGTGCAGCGACGGAAACACGCAGGGGATGAAGTGGAGAGTCACCTACCTGTGCCATCACTCCACCAAGACCCGTCAGGGGGTCACCGCCACTAGCCGTCCCCGTGGTCCAGTTGATCTCGTAATAATTGAAGAGGGTGAATGTGTAGGAGCCATCGGACACCAGGACGGCCTGGAAGGTGTTCACCTACAGGATGGGAATGCACAGTCTCATGACTTGCACTCCCCAGGAGGTCCTGGCCCCAGGGAGGTCCTCCCCTGACCCTGCGCCCTCCCCACCCACAGGCAGCTCAGAGCTGCTCTGCAGCCAGGCCCTCCAGCTCTGACTCCTCTCTGAATTTGTTCTCGCCTCCAGTGGGAAAAGCAAGACATGTGGGATTGTGCATCTAAAAGAGAAATTGCCTGAGATAAACCCAGAGTCTGACTCAGCGTCCGCTTACATCTCTGACTTCTACCAGACAGAAAATTCAGAGGCCTGGCTAAGCGTGTGATAATGTGAAAGCACCTATAGATGGCAGCATGAGAATAAACTACAGGAAAGACTCGGCCGGGGACCAGGATGAAAGCACCCATTCCCCTTGCAGAGTGGGTTGGACGAGGGAGCAGATACCAGTCCCTGTGATTAAAGTGGCCATGTGGATTGTGCTCTCTCCCTTCCCGGAAAACAACATTAATCTTGATGAGATGTCTCCCTTTTTAAAAATGAAAGTGAGAAAGTGATTTTTAAAAAGCACTTTGTGGAGAGAAATTACTCCTCTAATTGAGCATTTGTGCATCACTTTATTTCTGCAAAATCGTCAACATTCATCTGTACCCCAGACCAATGCTAAGATCGTATTGGCCCACGCATATCTTATAGCTAAGAAAACTAGGCACTCTGGGAAATGAGTTACTGGAAATTTCACAGTGACCCAGCAACAGAAAACGGGATTTGCGCCAGATTCCCAGTCCATCTCTCAGGGTACTGCCATTCCATGCTGCCTTCGTTTTAAACTTTTTAGGATAGAGATGTTATTTAAATTCATATGAAACTTGTAAACGGTTTTCAGAAATAAGCTGTAGCAAACCCTGTCCTTTATATTTTCCGCTTGCTAATCCTCACCCCTTGTCACATGTTTTCAAAAAATTTAATAGAAATAGAGTTAAAAGGAGAGGCTGCATTGACCTTTTTCTATTCAAACCCAGCACTTTTCCCTGCTGCCTGACACTGTCCCGGTTAACAGTCTGTCCGATGCAGAGGAAGACACAAATCCTTATCCTGTGTAATCAAACTGGGGTAGAGGATCTTGGAAGCCCCAAATCTCCCCATTCTAGATGATCCCAGAAAGCGAGGCAAGCTACGAGTAAGAAGAGCCCTTTTTGTAAAGAACTTTTCTTCCCACGCTCTGTGCTGGCCACAGCTGATGGTGTTTGTGATAGACTTGCTCAGGTATATGCCTTCAGTCTCTGGCCCCATTCGACAGAAGAGGAAAGTGGGACACAGAGATGAGTGAGCAGTAGGTTCAAGATTGCTGTAAGGTCACCAGCAGGCTCTCTTTCAAGGGACAGGTGCGAAGTCAAGGTCACACAAGGACTAAAGCTACAGCCTCCTTCAGACCAGGATTCTCCTTCAGAACGGAATTCCTTCGCCCACAATGAAGCTGGAAATATCTGGTCCAAGCAGGTCTCAAGAGCAATCCATTTCCAACCCCTGAAGTCACACCTCTAAACCAACCAGCCATCCCAGTGACACCCCAGAGGCCGACCGCCACCAGCACGCACCTTGGCTCACTCTCACACATTCCTATACTACAGAATTCTTCAACATTCATTCTAAGACTCTTCTGGATAAAAAACCTTTTTTGCTTCTGAGGACTTCAGCCACACCCGGAGGAGGCAGCTGAAGAAAGAAGAGTCTGGGATTTGGAGTTGGAGGACTTTGGTTTGAACCCCTGCTGTGTCTCCTAGGAGATACGAATCCTATCCTTTTTCTTGCCACTTGAAGGAGATACTTGGCCTCTCTGGACCTGTTGCCTTCCCTTGAAATTGGAGACAGTACTTGTCCAGGAACATTTTGGGGAGGGTTAAATGATATGCAAAAGTAGCCTTCAGCACCAGACACACAGTAAGCCCTCAATAAATACTAGTTTTCCTTCCTCGAAGTAAACACATCCCCTTTCCTTCCCTTCTGTTGGCCTCACATGAGAATTTTTGCCTGTAAAAGACCTCTCAAGCCCAGTGTTTAGCTGGCCTGTGATATGTGTTTCTATACGGAAGGGGAAACATGGAATAACAGGATGAAAGAGGTGGGGCCAATTTCAGAGATGGTGATGGATGGACACTTTCGCAGCTCCAGAGAACTACACCATCTTTTTTTCTCCAAGGAGCTCAAAGCACTTAGAGGTTACCTCATTCATCCTCATAGAAAGAGTTCTCACCTAGTTCAGAAATTTACTCCAAAGCACAAGCCAGAAAGTATCTAAATTATCTTGCCATTTTTATTGCCAATGGAAGTTTTTTTGAAAAACTGGTGGTCAGCATTTGATGGGCATTTCTTCCCTCCACCCCATGCCACTAAAATTTATCGATTGCTGGCATCCCGCATTCTAACGCTGTAAGATATGAGGCTTAAAGGATATAAAACATCACCCGAGGAGTCATTAGCGATCCACAACGTGACAGAGGGAAATGTATGCTTCTTTAGAGGTTATTTCTAGCCAATGCATCCGCTGTTTAAACTTGTGTCTTTCTGTTCTACAGAACCTCTTAACGATAAAGTGCTTCTTGATGCTCTGGCTAGAAGGTGCTAAAACATAATGTGTTCGTGGTGTCGCAGCTGTGAACTGCAAACCCAGCACTTTTTCACCTCTCTCTAACTCAGTCGTTTGTGTTCCACCCCTAAACAACTGACTCATTGCCAAGGAAACTGGAAAACAGATGGAATTGGAAATAATCCTAAGTAAGTGGAGGGCAGATTTTTTGAGTTGTCTTTGCTTACTAGAAATTATACAGTTGAAGATGTGTCTACTACTTCAAAACTCTCCACTGGCAAAGTCACCCAAACAAGCTGCAGGCTTTTGTGAAAACTGCATTCTGTCCCTTTATGTAGAAAGTTGATTATCTCTGCGATAATGCCAGTGATAATCTTTCTTATTTGACTTTTATTTGACTGCTCATTTGGGATTTCAGAGCAGATGTTGAAATTTTATTCATGAAACACTTTCACTGCCCACTCTAATTAACATCAAATATGAATAATTTCAGCCCTGGTCGCAATAAAAAAAAAAATCACAACATAATGAGCCAGTTCATTTGGGCCCAAACTTGGGACGCTATTTTTCTCTTCCAACCAAATTTTACTGGGGAGAGAGGGAGGAAATTAGGAATAGAGGGAGGCATTTGTACCTCTGTCAAGAGAAAAGGACCTTTGGGTCCCTAGATGGGCTCCTAAGCATGTGGCCTGGAATGGGTCTCCGTACCTCAATCACTCTCCTGCAAAACAGGAATGTCACTTACAGCAGAAAAGTTCTTGAGGGTTTTTTTAGGCATTAGTAATGATTTGTGATAGGGGTGACATATCTTCTGAAATATTACAGCTGACTGGGCTGGTTAGCTGTGATAGTTCCCTCTGTTCCCTGCAAAGTGGGTAGCAAGACTCATTAGTTTAACTCAAGGGAACTGACACTCCTTAGCTCTAATAATTAGACTCCTTCACGGTAGCGAAGATGGACAAGAATTAGATGTCAGGTTATGAAGTGGAAAGTGGAAAATTTGAATTATTACAGGTGTGGTGCTGCTGCCTCCATAAAACGTGACTTCCTCCCACGTCACAATGAAAACCCAAGTGGCAGAGAAGGCTGCCATGTCTTTGAAGTACTTCCTGATGTCCTTGGTGGCTCTTTTCAAGATGACAGGGTCCATGGTCTCTCTATAATAGATCTCGCCTCGAATTCCATTGTGCACATCCGCCCAAAATGGGGCGATGAAGGCCCTCCCATCCGTCAGGGGAAAGGATTCCGGCGTGAACTGGCTCACTAGCACGTTGAAGGAAACAACTCCGTTGTTATTGACCTACGAAAATAAGAGAGGCTTTGCACAGCCGATCTGAAACCATAACAATTTCAGAGTCACAGACCAAGACAGGCATTCGCCTAACTGTATGAATGAAAACAACTTTTAAACTACTGAATTAGAACCCCCAAATGCCGGCTTCCATTGCTCAAACTAAGAGGTTCGTTTGCTTCCAGACAAACTCATTGGTTTTCTTTCACATTCGATTTGTAACCAGCTTCATTTCTGATTAATAATCAGTCTCATTTTCATGTTCCCTATCCTGTCTCTATTATGCTTATCAAATGCTCCTGAGTTGTGCTTGTGCATGTGTGTACGTGTGTACTGCGGGCGAGATGTGCATGTGTGTGTACTGCAGGGTGTGTGTGCACTGGGATGAGGTGTATGGGTGTGTGTGTTCTGGGGATGGGTGTGTGTGTGTGTGTACTGCGGTGAGGTGTGTAAGAGTGTGTGTACTGGAGTGGGCTTTGTGTGTGTATTCTGGGGTGGGGAGTGTGTGTGTGTGTACTGGGGATGGGGTGTGTATACTAGGATGTGTATGTGTGTGTTTGTGACTGGGGTGGGGCGTATGTATACTAGGTTGGGGGGGGTGTGTGTGTGTACTGGGGGTGGTGTGCATGTGTGCTTACTGAGGTGGGACATATATATGTGTACTGGGGGTGATGTGTGTGTGTGTGTGTATATTGGAGTGTGTGTGTGTGTACTGGGGTGGACAGTGTGTGCATACTGGAGTGGATGTGCATATATGTATGTACTGGGAGTGGGTTGTGTGTGCTTACTGAGGTGGGATGTATATGTGTGTACTGGGCATGGTGTGTGTGTGTGTGTATACTAGGGAGGGTGTGTACGTGTGTGTGTACGTGTGTGTGTGTGTGTGTATATTTGGGTATGTATGTGTGTGTACTGGGAGTGTGTGTGTGTGTGTACACGGGGGGGCGCGTGTGTGTGTGTGCTGGGCCAGACAGGGAGTAACATGGTTACTAAAGATAGATTCAGGGTCACTAATACAAAATAAGCAGGAAAAAGAAATAAACATGGAAGTAAAGTGAAATTTGAAAATTGAGGTGCTCTATATTAGGCCTTGCTTCCTATTTTATAACAAAAGAGGAGTGTCAGAGAGAGAGAAATCAAACACTCCATCCAACTCCAGTCTCCGACGAACAATATTCTGCTTTGGGTGAGACATTTAAAAGACCTCTACTGATGTCACAACCACTCCTGTGCTCAGAGCAAGGACAAGGTTAAGACCTACAGATGCCCAGTTCCATTCCAGCTCGTGTGGTGTGATAGTGTCTTGGTACAATCGCTGCATAAAAATTGAGGCATGACTACGTTGTTTATATAAATGACTATCTTATGGTGATTTCTTCATGATCTGTAAATGGCTTAGTAAACCAATTAAATAGGAAACCTTACTGGAAATCACAAGCCAAGATACACCCTCAGTTTACAAGGGACCTGTAAACAATTCAACCTCTGCCTGAATCTTTAGCTCTGTACGTTGGTAGATAAACTGATTTAACTCCGTGGCTTACATGGCTTCAGCAGCAGAGGTGCCCGTAGTGAAATTGCAATTCTTGGATATAGAAAACCTGGAGATAATTTTCCTATACACTCCAATCATATGTTAATTTCCTGTTAACCAGTAACATTATGGACATTAACAGTGGCCCAGATCCCAGAGGCAAGTTATCAAGGCCTGGGCCAAGGGTAGGTCTACATGTTTGGAAGTAAGGCTTTGGGTTTGGAAGAGACATTAAGAGTCTGTTTTCTTCCAGTAATAGGGAACATCCTAGAGGCTTGAAGAAAACTGCACTACTCAAAGTGTTGGAAACGCAAGGAACAATGTATCCTCAAATAAGTCTGCCTCAGGTTAAGGACCCTCCTGTTACAAGGGCAAGAAAAAATTCTTCAGACTCCACATCACACAGTGCAATAGAGAAGTAAAACTAGCTTAACTGGGCTTCCAGTACGGAAGTCCTCACTCTATTATTGCCAAAATCAGGTCAACACATCCCAAAACTTAAAACCAGCTATTGCAGACTAGGGAGGCCCTGTCGTGAGTAGAGAATAAAAGGCGTTTCAGGATGTCAGAGTGAAGTGTTTGCTAGGGAACAATAGGTGTAATTAAAACACACAGACTGGCAGAGGAAGCTGGTGATGACTCACATGTGTCTTGATTATATCCTATGGTTGAGATCAGTGGTTCTCACACTTTTGTGGGCATCAGAACCACTTGGAGGACTCATGAAAACACAGATTACTGGCTCCTCCTCCCAGAGTTTCTGACTCAGTAGGTGTGGGGTGGGGCCCAAGAAATGACATTGCTCATGAGTGCCTGTATAACCCTGCCTCTGCAGGTTCAGGGATTACCAGTTAGGTAATGGAACAGGGAACTCTTTTCTAGCGGGAATCATCCCAGAGCCATAAGTCAAAAGTTGGGAAGAGAGAGGTCCCAGAGGTAGAGATGGCCAGAGGTGGACATGCTTAGGGTTGCATTCTTCCTCCAGGGATGTGGTATAATCCCTCACCCAGTTATTTAAGGCCAACAATAAAGGCAGGCTCAGTTGCTCTGAGTCTTCCTCTTCATGTGCAACCGTTTCACTAGCAGCAAACCCAATGATTCAAAAAAACGAAAACAAGAACCTGAGAACACAGGTGCCTAGAAGAGCTCTGATCACAAATGGGACCATTTCTTAGTGCGGGCTGAGCGATGGGATCCTCTGGCCTATCTACAGACGATTATTGAGGGTGGCCAATTCTGCAAACAACCTTGATATAATAGTTGATTACCCCTCTACTGTGTTCAGACTTTGCTTCGAATTGGTAGGAAGCCCAAGAACAACAGATGCCTAAACTTTTCACACCCCCAGAAGGGAAAGAAAAATGATATTGCTCCTACTGTGGTTCATTGTATCTTTTTATCTCATTGAGTAGCAGAAATAATGTTCATGGCATTGGGGCTTCTGCTTCACTTCTATGTTTAATCACCCACAAAAGCAATTTATTACCCTGTATACTCCTCCACCATGAACATTAGCCATTAAATATACCTTTGACTTTCTTAATCATAAAACCTATCAGCTCATGAAATCTCAGAACTTGTCGTTTTGGCTGCCAATAAATCCTCCTTCCCAGAGCTCTGGAAGAGGATACTTAAAATGCTTTTCTTAATGACAAACAAAAGGGAGAGCCAGAGAGCAACAGCTGGGCTGCTTCTCCACTTACATAGACAGTGCGGTAAGGAACGCCAAAGAAGAAAACTGGGATGGCCAACTTAATCTCAGATGAGCTTCCATCGTCTACTTTAGGGGTTTTGGTGTCATTCTGCCAAAATGGATACATGAGCTCCCTGGGCTGAGCTGTCAAGAGAGATGATGGTTAGATAGATGGCAGCTCCCTCTTCCGTTTGGCAAGCTACATCCCTCCTACTTACTGAAGCCAGTTTCTTTCAGTAAGGCTTGCAAGCTGAACACAAGTCACACTGCCCTCTCATTCATCCTAAACCTAGGCCATACACAGTGTAGTATCTTCTGCCTCTGGGAAAGGGGAGAACGGGAATGACACTGTTTCTCCATAGGAGAAAGCGCTTTGTGCACGTTCTTGCACTTTCATGCATCTTGGTGATATCTACGGTTACAACTGGCTGGAAATTTGTGAAACTTCCCTGGAACCTTGAGCTTTCTGGGTACTCAGAGGTAGCCTCTAGGTCTGGCATGGCCACAGTTTTGAAGCTCCCTTTCTAGCTCAAGAATTCCACTATCGTGTCTTTTCCTGAAAGGAGTTCCCTCCCTCTTGCCGCACAATTGGAGAAAATCCCAGATCCCAGAAGGAAATAAACAACAGAGGGGACTGGGACAAAAGTGGGAGGAGAGGATTTATAGTAATTGGCCCATGAATGACCTTGATTGAGGGCTGGTCCTGCAAGAGGCTCTTTGTCCAACTCCTTTTTACAAAAGACAGACACGAGATCCTCCGGGGTCAGGGGGTTGGGTCCTTGAGAACTCTTTGGAAACGAATTGCAGGGCTCTGGTCCTCCTGGTCACGGGAGAGCCATCACACAAACACACACGGCACCCCGCCGTGACAGGGTTACCCGCCTCCTGGCAGCCCCAGCTTGCTGCTCCCAGGTTTCCCGTCCATACTGTTGCAAGGTGTGGCTCAGTTTTGTGGGAGAAATGAGACAAGTTCCCTAGGGTCTGCATCACTGAGGATCAAGTCCAATAGTATCTGTGAAATAATCTACATTTTGGGTGTTACTTTTCTCTGCCTCTGTCCTTTCTTCCCTGAATTAATATAAGACAATAGGACACTATCATTTTCTCCCTTTTTCCCTTTTTTAAAATTTCTCATTCTCAGGGGCAGCGGCAAGCCCATTCTGAGCATCAGCCACACTTCTTGAGGTACCTGCTTGCTGCCATGAGATGCCGACGCCCCCATTCTCATGTCGGGCCTTGTCCTCGGGAAAGTCCCTGCTCTGTGCTGATGGAAGCAATAGGCTGGGGAGCAACCGGCCAAGGACTGTCTTTGCTCCTTTGGGAGGCTTTTAGTGAACAGACAACAGCTCACGTAAAAGAGAGTGCAAAGGGGCCAGAAAGCAGGCCTGTTGCACCAGGCCAAGAGCCAGCTCTCCAGTTCTGAAGCAGGGAGCAAGAGGAGTTCTGCCTCAATGGAGGGCTAATTTCTTTCCAGGGGCTGACATCCGAGGAAAGCAGGGAAACGAATCTGGTCATTAGTGTATATGCATCGTCCAAACCCCAGAAGTTGCTGAGAAGCTGCCTGAATTTGAGCCTGTAGGAGGCACTGTGTCAGATCATAGGAGCTCTGGGCCCATGAGCTGTATTTAATTTACAACCAGCAGGTGAAAAGGGGTCTTCTAACATTTCTATTTACATAATAGTAACAAATTAAAAATTCCTAGAAGGTATGAATTAAAAAAAAATCTTTATAATCGCTACTACAGTATTATACACAGGTACTTATTTCTCGAGTTAACAGTAACAAATTGTGTCCTGGCATGGATTTATCCTTCATGGGGAACTTCTTAGGAGTCGTGCCCAAGTATGAATGAGGGCTTAAATTCACACTGAATTATCATCATTTTTTGGAAAGATTAATTGGTATTTTGGGCTGCATTAATTGGCCAGTCTGCCTAGGGAATGGAAAATCCATAATACCCCTTGGAGGAGACAGAAAACCATGGCCAGGGAGAATGATCCTAACCTCCTCTTCTGCTGCAAAGGTGAGGCAGTTTGCAAGATTCTTCTCTTTGCGGGTGATCCTAATTAGTTCACAATTTTGAATAGGAAAGAATGGACAGTTAAATATTTTTAATTTTAAGAAGGATACAAACAATAAGCATATCTAATATGGTAAATAATACTTGTCAAATGAAAAGGAGGGTGCGAAACACAAGGGCATAGGTTTAAACTACAGTAATTAACACCTCAGAAGCCATTATTATTAAAATATAAATATATATAACTGTTAGCAGCATGGCCTATCAATAACATCAGAGTTGCTAAAAGAAAGAATATCCCTATACATGCTTGCCCTAAGCCGAGAATTTCACAATAAACATAGCTATGTTTCCAGGATTTTTTTTTCCACCAAATAAAATGTACTTTCTTGGAGCTGGGGTAGGAGGTTGAAGTCACGGGCCCTCTTTCATTCTTGTGGGGTCTCACACTGTGGTTTAACTGTTTAAATTCACCAACTCTGGAAAAACATTAGCGCTGCACAGGGGCTGGACACGCGCACCTCAGACTTGTACTCACGTGCCACCTGAACTAGACAAACTCTCAAAGTAAAGAAAGGTGCCTGAGAATTTTAGCCATAAAATGTTAAAATCTATGTAGACTACCCCATCTTTGTCTAAAATCCAAAACAACAGTAGAAAAAAATATATGTGGCCTTTCACTAACGCAGGGCAATGCTACACAGAGAAAGAGAAGGAATCACTGAGGGGAATAATTATCTTATTTAACTTGAAGTTTTAGATTTGGGGGCCACGTAAAAGGTCACTGATATACAAGCCACTGACATCAATACCATTGTAATTTCCTAGTTTTTGGCCAAAATAAGTAGATTATTTAAAGTCTCCACCACAAATTAAATGTCTTAATGGGAATCAGTGATCAGACATGAGGTGCACATACACCTATCTTATCTACTTTTAATGGAAGTATTTTGCATTATTTTAAAGATCTACTCCATTAGCACAGGGCAAGCTGGTATATACAAATAGTATTTGAAGTTAAATCAGAAGAAAGTGGGAATATAAGTAAACCTCATTTAAAGTTAATGAATTTTACCCTTGATAATAGAATTCAATTACATTTTTCTCATGTATCTGTCGACACACATGCACCTGCCCTTACAATTATGGTTCCTAATAAACGTGTCTCTTTATCAATTCAAGAGCATGCTAACTGAGAGCTTTATGGAATTCTGTAGTACTCACCTTGGTGCCGTACAAGTGCGAAGATGAAAGAGACCCAAATTCTAAGGAATGATGAATAATTCATCCTGGAATTTTAAAAAGAAAAAGAAAAAAAAAATCCCCAGCTTGCCAGAGTAAATAGAACACCAGGTGTGTTTGGTGGCGAATCCCAAGACCATCAAAACCATCACAGAACAAATTCACGTAACAACATCAACAGTGCTGAGTCGGGCTGAAATCCCCTGAATGCTGGCAGGTCCTCCTAAGTTCAAAACTTCACGAACAAATTATAGATGCCCAGAAGAAGCCAGTCTGGAAGTGTAATGAGATCGTTCGAATTGTCAAGTAATTATTTAGAATTAGTGAGAGCAGTATGAGTAAAGGAAAGGTATCTCCTGTGCATCGAATAAAGCACTGAAAACTAGGACCCAATGCTAAAGATGCATGCGGGTCCTGGGTTGTGTCTCTGCACCAGAAGCCACACCCCAGTGAGACCTGGCTTTCCTAATTTTCACAACAGCTTTCCACCAAGATCAAACAAAAGTTGGTTAAAACACAATGTGTTCTACAGCTAGGAGAATTTAGAGTTTGCCATCACCTTCTCCATAGAAGGGAGCCGATCCATCATTCTGAAGTATTGACCAGATTCAGGGCCAGTCTACTCTGTTCACTGACTTCACATAGTGAAATGAATGATAGAAACATTAGTAATAAAAAAAAGAACCAGTCCAGAATTGAAATCACAATAAAAAATAGAATCCAGTGCACAAGCAACCAATTAATTCCAGCAAGTTAATTAAAGAAGGAACGCAGCAAAGATGAACTTGTTTTCGTGTTAGTTTACAATCAGTTGCACGGTGGCTTTACCCTCCATTAGGAGCACGTTTTGTCTGTGTCACTCTGCAAAGCTACAATGAGAACACAGACGCAAGCTCAAGTTAGACATCACCAAAGTGCGTGGCTAGACCATGAAGTCTCCTCCTGAGAGTATTCTTAAAAAGAAAAACCTTCCTCTTATTTGAAGTTATCACAATTCTTCAGCCAAACTTTCACGGGAAAGGCAATGAATTTATCTTGTGAGAGTTTTATTGCAAATCTTTAGTTGTCAAGTATATATGTTGTAATTTCAAGCACATATTAAATATTAGACAGTTTTGCTGGAAACGGTACAAAGGCTTTAGCAGAGATCACACACAGCTTTAACGGAGACAGACGCCATGCAAGTTTAAGACTACAGCCCTTAGGGAACTGGTTCAGAGAGAAGTAAGGAGGATTCATTTAGATATTTGTATTTACGAAAAATGTCACTAACCTGTTCTGAAGAGGCTGGAGGAACTGAGTCAGAAATACTAAGCCAAATCTTGGTAAGCCAGGAAAAATTAGGTAAAACAAGAATTCATGTCAGTTCTCCTCAACTTGTTGCCAATAATTTCTGATTCCTGAAATGATGTCTGAATCCCGTACTCTTAAAACCAAAAATTAAGTTAGTCCTGTACTAGAGACAGGTAAGTGTTGAGTTGCAATCAAGTTATTTTCTATTGATTAAGGAAAAGTAAATCTAAAGTTTTTTTTCAGGATTGCGTAGAGAGGTTCTTTTCCTGAAAAACTAGACCTTTTTTTCCCCCTTTAAAAAAAAAAAAAAGGTAGATTCAGATGGAAATGTCAGGTACTTGGAGCTGAAACCTTGGGCCTTTCTGATCAGAATCACTTTGCACTGAAAAACACAAAAGAAAACCCCCCTTCTACCTTTGTACCTAAAAGAAGGCAACTGTATAATGTTACAGAATTAGCATCCACCGGCATGGGATTAAAACTCCAAACAAAGCAGCTGCCTCCAACATTTAAATGAAGTTGGTTTTCCATTAAAGTCTTTTTTTGTTTCTCTGGTTTTGAACAGTCGCCACAGATAGGCTCTACTCTATTTTTTCACAGGTATGTATGAAGTATTTAAAGAAACTTTTCCAAACTTTTTAAGTTTTATGCCCTCTCTTTTCTCTCTGATGCATCGCTCTGCAGGAGATAGGACAGGGCAGTTTCCAGGCAAAATCTAACAAGGGACCTAGTGCTAGACATGATCTTCCACAAGGGAAATCTCAAACTGTGGCCTGGAAACCTCCCCTGACACCCAGGGAGGGTCACTGGAGGCAGAGGGGGGAGATAAACCCCTCCTGATAAAAGTTTGCAGTAAGTAAATAGTTTAAAAGGCATGTGAATAAGGGGAAAACGTGCTCGGTTAGATGCTTCCAAGCATCCAGTAGATGTGGAATAAGCAAAACTGGCTAAGGCATAAGCTGAATCTACTATTCGAAATGTTTAAATGGAATTTATCAAGAAAGAAGTAACTTGACTGTAGCAGGAAAAAAACTCTTCTGTAAATCAATGGGAATTTAAAAATTATTCCAAATTTTCTCTGACCAGACATTTAAATGCCAACTGTACAAAAGAAATATAATTCTAGGTTTAAGCATGTTGTCACAAGAGTGTTTGGTGAACTAAATTTTTTAGTTTAAATTACTCCATGTTTTTCCAAAAACCTGTGAAAATTCAGCAGGTTTCCCACATTGTTTATTCTCTCACTGGTGTTATGAATCCTCCACACATATTTACTTACAGATGTTAAATGACTGCTTCTCTCCAAATGACTCACATTTATTTATTTTTCTTTGGATTCTAGGAGTGCTTAAAATGGCACATATTTATATAACAGAAAAGCTAGTTTCTTGGGTGCCTATTTAAAATAAAATTAAGTTCAAATCAAAGACACATTAGAGAAGGATTCTCTTTGTCCAGCCTTAGGTTGTAGTCCAGTAGTCAACCTACATGTCTTGAAGCAAAATCGTTGGCTCCGTTTTTCGTGTTAGTTTACAATCAGTTGCACGGTGGCTTCACCTTCCATTAGAAGCGCTTTTTGTCTGTGTCACTCTGCAAAGCTGTGATGAGAACACGGATGCAAGCTCAAGTTAGACATCACCAAAGTGCGTGGCTAGACCATGAAGTCTCCTCCTGACAGTATTCTTAAAAAGAAAAACCTTCCTCTTATCATTTGAAGTTATCACAATTCTTCAGCCAAACTTTCACGGGAAAGGCAATGATCTTCCTGGTGGCATATTAATTGCTTTCTTCCTTTTTCATGCTCTCTAGGATATTTATATCTCAGCCCTTTTGACCCACGTTGGATGCTCCATCCTTCTCGAGGCAGGACTGCTGCTGGTATAAATGCCATCGGGGCATAACCAGATACACAAGATGGTGGCATACATGAATTAGAATGCCTTTGAGAATCCGGCTGCAAGGGAACACCAGGTGCATGGGGAGACGCCAGGCTGGCTTATCACTTTGGGAAGCTGGTCAGTGAGTGTGTGTTCTGGTGTACACCCAGTGGTCACAGATTGACAAATGACAAAAATCTCTTTTCATGCTGTGTCAGCAGGAGGACTTATTTTGTTGAAAGTGTGAGGTGAGCAAAGCTTTTGACAAGATTTAGATGTGGGATAAAAAAAGGGTGCATCGGAGCTAGTCAACCAAGATATTTGTGCTTTATTAAAAAAATGGTGAAGTTGATGCTATTTTATAGGCAAGAGGAAAGACAGCTCAAACAAAATAAAAAAATACAGTCCTCTAAAATCAAGTAGAATGGGTTTTACGTGTGGGATGCTTTTGTTTTTGTGTTGTTTTCTTAACTTTCATATACCTTTTTCTGTGGAACAGATGGTCAGATGTGAGTTACTTTGAAATGATGCAGTTATTGGCTATGGCAGACATGGAGATGCGCCACTCAGACTCCCCACTAAACTCCGTACAACAGAGATGTGAGAAGCACAGTTGGCCAACAGCCTCTAGCCCTCAGCGCTTTCAGGCTCAGCCCCAGTGCTAAAACCCAGGACACACTCTTCATGGGACAGCCCTCCGCCAATAACTGGGCAAGGTCAGGCTACACAGTCTAGCACTTTCCAACCAAAGCAGGACTCCCCAGATGGGCAGTTTTTGCTCTGGAGAGCCCTGTTGAATGACAAAGACTTGGTCAGGTGCTCAAGGGAAGCAGTTCTATTATACCAATGTCAAGGTCTACCTGGGAAAAACATACATATGTGTGTGTGTATATAGGTATATATAATTTATTACACATTATATGCATACATATATATTATACATGTGATTTATCATATACACATGTACACACACATGTACATATAGGTATTTTATATGCTTATTTTATATACCTAGCCTCATTTGGAGGCTATCTGGGTAGATGCCTCCAAAGATTTATTTCTGAAAATTTCTGATCCTTTAGACACACCCTACTGCACACCATCAGGAACTAAAATTTCCCCCAGCACAGGAAGACACAGAGAGGACTTCCCCCGACAAGGCAACAGCTGCTCTCTTCAAAAGCTGCTCCCACCTTCTCTCCTGAATGCCAGGCCTGTAATCTGGGCTAAGCTGCTGCATAACCCAGCCAGAGACATGCTGGGCCTGACAGGAGACAAAAGGGACTGTGCCCACGAAGGTGCTGCAGGTGCAAAGCGCCAGCACGCACTGGTAGGGATGAGGGGAGGGCATACCCAGGGGCACTCTCTAGAGCTACAGACTTCAACGTGGTGTCAAGAGCACCAGCGGATGGTGCAAACTCACTCCTAGAGAAGCTTCTAGGAGCCTGGAAAAAGTGATGGCTCACACTGAGCAAGGTTCAAATGCCTGAATTACCATGGCAGATGGCCGAAGAAGGGACCAAAAGGCTCACAGATGTTTGCATGGTGGAATAGATATATTATGTGACTCTGCTAGGCCCACTGGACAATCACGTTCCATGGAAGGCCAGAGGACAGACGCACCAGCCACCAAAGCCAGCAGGAATATACTGGAGAGGGAGGCACCAGTATCACTAAGCAGCTCAGTAGTGGCTCCCTAATGCCGGCCAAGGCTAATGCCAGGAAAGGTGATCATGGAACTTGGCTCTGATAGCAACGGAGATGATGGGTCCCTGCAGAAATACAGGCCAGGTGACATAACGCTACTGTGTGAAGCCAGGGATGCTGGGAGGGCAGTCATAATTTTTGTAATGACCAAGAAGATCAGAGGGGCAGCCAAGGGACCCGATCCTTAAAGAGTCAAGGACATGCTTAATAAAGCACAGTATCCAAGGGGCAAAGCAGATGGGCAGCCAGCAAAAGCATGGTTTCCTCTGTATAATAATATAAAAGAGCAAGAGCCAGGCGCGGTGGCTCACACCTGTAATCCCAGCACTTTGGGAGGTCGAGGCAGGCAGATCACCTGAGGTCAGGAGTTCAAGACCAGCCTGGCCAACATGGTGAAACCCTATCTCTACTAAAAACACAAAAATTAGTGGTGGTGTGCCTGTAATCCCAGCTACTCAGGAGCCTGAGGTAGGAGAATTGCTTGAACCCGGGAGGTGGAGGTTGCAGTGAGCTGAGATCTCACCACTGCCCTCTAGCCTGGGCGACAGAGCAAGACTCTACCTCAAAAAAAGAAAGAAAGAAAGAAAGAAAGAAAAAAGCAGGAATGGTTGAGAAAGGTGGAGAGCAGTGGTCCCAGTAAAAAAACCATGGGCCCTGCTTGGTTTCTGGATCTGAGTCAGTTTTCAAATCTGGAATCTGTAGACTGAAAAGGTAACAGGTACCCAAAGGGCAGGACCCTCCAACACCATGACAAATATGGTAATTTTCCCAATCTGTCCCCAAAAAGACCTTTGGCCATTTACACAAGTGACCATAGACTGGGAGAAGGAGAATGCTTAGACATTTTGAGGACTGTTATAGAAGGAGTTTGAGTTAATAATGATAAAGACTCCATTAAAGTGGGAACACATAGGGCTCAGAGAATAAAAGGAATCCTAGAAAAGTTTACAGTGGGTTTACAGGGGCTGCAGACCCGCTGGATGTTATTTTCCCAGTCCAAAGATATTACAATAAAATTAAGCTTAAATCAAAGATTCACCTAGAGAAGGATTCTCTTTGCCCAGCCTGTATTAAGGTTTTAGTCCAGTAGTGAACCTAAATGTCTCGAAGCAAAATCGTCAGCTCTATTTTAATAAACTGCTAGCAGCATACTAATTGTTTTCTTTTTCCATGCACTCTAGGATACTTATATCTCAGCCCTTTTGGCCCACGTTGGATGCTCCATTCTTCTCGAGGCAGGACTGCTGCTGGTATAAATGCCATCTGGGCATAACCAGATACACAAGATGGTGGCATACATGAATTAGAATGCCTTTGAGAATCTGGCTGTGAGGGAACATCAGGTGCATGGGAAGAGACCAAGCTGACTTATCATTCATTGGATTAGGAAGCTGGTCGGTGAGTGAGTACCATTGGGATTGATGTATTAATACTTGGCACATTGCATCTTTAGCTTATAGAGTAACAACTATCATAGTAAGGAAGGCAAGTGGAAATCTCTGACACTCCCTGTCCCTACTCTGACTAAAGTAGTCACATAAAAGAATATTGCACCCTGGGCTGTGGGGAGAATGGTAAACATTAGTATCACTCTTAAAGAAAAGGGGTGGTGAACTCTTACCATATCTTTATCGAACTGGCCAGGATGGATCCTAGAGAATGGCTATGGACTACTCCAACTTCAACCAAGTGGTAGTACCAATCGCAGCTGCTGTGCTTCAGATACGTGATATGTGGCCATTCATTTGACAAATGCATTTTTTTCCCTGTTTGAATCAGGAATGAGGGTCAAAAATAGTTCACATCTTATGGAACAGACAACAATATATATCTATATTTCTAGCTTTGCCCCAGGGCTATAAGTCTCCCACCTTCTTTCATATTGTAATGAAAGAGATCTGAGTCATCTGGGTACTACAGAACATCACCTTGATTCACTGTATTGACAACATCAACAAACCGGGCACCATGGGCAAGAGATGGCCAGCAGGCTGGACGCCTTAGTAACACACAGGGGCTCCAGAAGGTGGAAGATAAATCCTACAAAGATTCAGGGATGCTATTTCAGTAAAGTTGTAAGGAATCCAGTGGCCAGGAACATGCTGGGACAACTCCTCCAAAGGAAAAGGCAAATTGCTGCATCTTGTAGCCTGTCTACAAAGAAATTCTTTCTTCTTTGTCAGCTTCTTTGGGTTCTGGAGGCTACATGTTCCAAACCCAGAGAAATTGCTTCAGGTGATATGAAATTAAGCCAGTTTTGTGTTGGTCTGAGAACATAAAAGAATTCCATTGCAGCTCCAGGCTACGATGCAAGCAGCTCTGCTGCTTGGGCCATGTGTTCAGTAGGTCCTTTGATATTGGAGGTGTGTTTGGTGGAAAAAGATGAAATGTGGACTTTATTGCAAACCCCAGGGGAAGAACTACCACATAGACCCCTGGAGTTCCGGAGCAAGGTCATGCCATCTGCAGCAAAGAATTACACACCTTCTGAAAATCAGCTCTCTCATGGGACTAGGCCATGTGATGGAATATTTGTCTAAGAGATAGTGGTCATGTATCCAGAACTTCCCATGAAGACCTATGCCTTGTTGGACCCACCAAGTCACGAAGTCAAGTGGACCCAGTAGCAATCTAGCATAAGATGGAAATGACATATCTGGGACCAGTCATGAGTAAGATGCCTGAGTCGTAGTCCAGACTCCATGTCACCTGACATAGATGTGTCAGTAACTGCTCCCCAATCAGATCACACATATGGCTATATGTGGGAAGGTGAATACGACAAGATGGAGGAGGAGGAAGAAGCCTAAGCCTGGTGCATGGATGGACTCAATTGGTGTGTGTGTGCGCAAGCCTAAAGCAGACACTGGCTGGCTTCATGACAGCCTCATTCGAGTGGCCTTGAAAGACAATGATAAGAGAACATCCTCTCAACGTGTGGTGCTTTGGGTGATATATCTTGTCATGCATTTTGTGTCAAAGGAGAAAGAGTTCTGAGGTTAGAATATGTACAAACTCATAGGCAGTGGTGAATGACATAGCTGGCTGGACAAAGGCCTGGAAAGAAAAAGATGGGAAAATCAGTGACAAAGGGGCCTGGATAGACAGATGAGGGTGGACATGAAGTGTGAGGATCTTTGTGTCATATATTATCACCTACCAGAAAACATCCACTACAAAACAGGAACTAAACAACCAAGTAGACAAAATAACTCGGCCAGTTGATGTAAAGCAGTCTTCGTCAGTGTTGGTCCAATGGGCGCATATATAAAGTGGCTACAGCAGCAGGATTGGAGGTTATGCATGGGTCAAACAGCACGAACTTCCATTTAGCAGGCTGGTCTAGCTACCACGGTATCTGAAATGTTCAATCTGTTCAACCTGCGAATAACAGAGACCAAGGCTGAAATCCCAATATGTTACTATTGGGGAGACCATTTGGCCATTTGGTGGCAAAATAACCACATTGGACCCCTTTCATCCTAGAAGGGTCAGCACTTCCTTTCCACAGGGATGGAGCCATATTCCGGACATGGGTATGCCTTTCTTGCCCAGGGGCCTCAGCCAGCACCACTAATGGGAGGCTTGCAGAATGCCTGATCCATAAGCATAGAATTCCATGCAAAATAGCACCTGACTAGGGAATCTGCTTTATGGAAAAGGAAGTGTGGGAGTGAGCCCACGGCCATGGGATTCACTGGTTGGAGTAGTGATAGTATGAGCGGAAGATGCCAGCTAAGAAGATGCCAGGTGAGAATTGAAGTAAATTGCTTAAGGAGTAGGTGAAGCACCACCCTGAAGACAATATTATGCAAGGATGAGGTGCTATTCTCCAGGATACTGTGTACACAGCGAGTCAGAGACCTTTGTAGGGTGCGGTGTCCCCAGTAATAAGACTACATGGATCCAGGAACCAAGGTGTGAAGGCAGGAGTGGGCCTACTTGCCATTACTCCCAATGATTACTGGGGGACTTTGTGCTTCCCAACCCCTCATCTCTGGCCTATGCAGTTGGAAGTCCTGGTTCCTCAAGAGGGTACATTCTCACCAGGGGACGTGAGTCCTGCTGAATGATAAGCTATGGGCTGTAATGGTGCCTGGACACACTGGGCTCCTTGTATGCAAAGACCAGCAGGCAAGAACATGAACCATTATCTCGTTAGGAGTAGTTGACTCTGATCAGCAGGAGGAGGCAGGGCTATTGTTATACATTGGGTTCAAGGGATAACATATGGCACTCAGGTGACCAATTTTGGTGCCTCTTGGTACTCCCTTACCCAATTAGACTGTGATGGACAAGTGTAGCAACCCTAGTCTGATCAGCATACGATTACGAAGGACTCAGACTATAAGGAACGAAGGTTTGATTAAGGTTTGAGTGAAACCACCAGGTAAGCCACTGAGACCAGAGAGACAAAAGCCAAGGGGTTATAAGGATAGTGGAAGAGGGAGAGAGTGGGTACCAGTTGTCACTCTGAAATCAACTGCAGTGACAGGGGTGTTAAGCCATTTTCCTAGCCTCCCTCTTCTAAGTTTCCTCTCAGATAGAGAGGCCCACCAGAGCCCTAGAGGAGCTGCCATTGATCATGGATGGAAAATTGGATCTACACATTGCATGGAGTGGACCGTGGCAGACACTAAGATGCAAAACTCAGACCCACCCTCAGAAAAGGGATGATTTCCAGCTACAAGGTGTACGGTTAGCTGACAGCTTCCAACTGTTGGCTCCTTTAGCATCTATATCAGTTCAAGCTGAGGTTATGTTCTTGAAGCATTCCCATATCAACGATTGAGAAAAGTATTGGTAAAGGGCCCTGGCCATTTCTGGCCAAGGTAGGACTCATCTAATGGAAAATCTGTGCTCCAGAGCATCCTATTGGGCTGACTGATTCAGGTCTGTAGCATGGTCTGATGGTCCATCTCGCTCAACCCTACTTCTTCCCCGTTCTTTCACAGGTGTTACTCCCCAACAAACTTCCTGCACTCCCAACTCCACCTCAGCATCTGCTTCCTGGACAACAGAATCTGTGACATTGATGTCTCTGATAAATTTACAAGCCCTGTACAACTGTTTTGCTTCACTGTATGAACTACCATGGAGTCCAAATAGTTCTGTAATGCAGTTGTTTCTACCACTTATCCACTGAGTGAATAATGTCTAACCTCCTAGATCTAGCTCATTAAGGTGATTACATCTAAGGCTATATTTACATTCTCCCTGAAAAAAATAATGTTGTCCATAACAGGATCCTCGAAATACATGAGGTAATGGAAAAATGAAATTCAAATTTAAAGCAAACAAAATTTTAACACAACCAAGACAGTTCCTATTGTCCTAGTTGTATTCCCTAACAATGGAATAAAGCTTACATCTGCCCTCAAATGTATCAAATATTTTGGAAAACATTTTTCTCTTTAGTCTGTATTATTTGACGTCTGCTTCCCAGAGTCTTGTTTTTAACACCTTAATTGTATTACTTAAGTGACTAAGAAGCATTCAGGAATGCAAAGTCAGAATGATCTGATGAACTGAAATTGCATTGTTTTTTTTTTTTTTAACAGATCTAGATCCTGCAGACCATAATAGAAAAGCTGTCTCCTCTATTTTAAAAGTAATATTTATATTCTTTACAAGGCTCTCTCTTGAATTTTAAGGAGGAACAGTAGCGTGACTGCCTCATCCTTTCCAATAACAAAACCTTTGATAAAGGCTCCTGGAACATTAAATTATTGTTTTTCCTCAATAAATGCCTATTTTAAGTTCACTTGGAACATCATGCCTCCTTGATAAAAGTCTGAGTTGGAACTGAGTGATCTCTCTCACCTTTGGCTATCTGCTGAAACCAGTTTTAGGGCTCTAGAATGTCCCGAGGTTAAAAAACAAATCATCAGTCTTCTTGGGTCACATTACTTGTTCATTTATTATTGTGAGTAACACCCATCCTGTGTCCAATATGGCATTTCAGAGGAGAAGGGGGGACAACAGATATGTCCCAACCACAATTTCTCAATTCTGGAAATGGTTTGAGGGCAAATTCCAGTCTGGATCTAGAGCTATCAGCCACATCAGTGATTCTGTTACAGAGCCAATCAATTTAGTAAATGGATATTGAGGACATCTCATTTTAATTTTTCAGTGAAAAGGAAGACTAACAATAAAGGTGTGTGCTGGGGAACTTTAGCAGTAAGCACTACAGTACAGCTGTCAGTGCATGGGTTCTGCAACCAAACTGCTTGCGTTTGCATCCTGGTCTTGCCACTTACCAGCCATGTAACTTTTGGTATTACTTAACCTATCTGTGCATCAATTTCCTCACTAGTAAGAAAATGGAGATAAGAGTGTCAACCTCGTAGGGTTGTTGTAAAGACCAAATAGGAACTTCTTTTCCAGAGAAGAACTGAAAGAGAAATGTGACTTCAAAAGCCAACCTTCTTGTTTTAAATGCATTCTAATAACTAGAGAAAGTCACAGTATTTTCCAGTCCAATAGTTATTGGATGTCTTGATACATGTCTACTTTGCAGGTACTCAGAGAAGCTCATACTAAATAGTAATTAAATAAAACGTAGCACAGAGGCTTAAATTACAGTTCTTTGAAATTTGAATAGCAGGCAGAAATACTCTTAAACAGGTCATGATACTTATGTATTTCTGAGGCATTGAAAGACAAGTGAATGAACTCTGTCTCTTAAATACAGAAATAAAGTACAGTCCTTAGACTTTAATCCTTGGTGCAAGGTTAATTCATAACGGCTTACCAAGAAATTATTGATAAGCAAGCAGGGTTCAAATGTACAAAATTCTAATACATATAAAAAACTATTTTTCTAAGGAAAAAAGTAGCCCCTGAATAAGAACTGGCAAATTTTAATTTCAACAAATGAGATTTTTCAATCTTACTCATAAAAGGTGATGCCAAATATCTTAAGACAGGGTTTATCCTCAAAGGATAAAAAAGCAGTATAAAGAGCATGTCAGAAGTATAAGATTTTGCTAACAGAAAAGCAGTAACACGTCTCTTATTAATCGTTGTTTTCTAGTTTTCAACTCTGGCAAAATTCCAATTAAATTTGTCAAAATGGTCAGACTTTTACTAGTTTGGGCCAATCCTCCAGAGAACTCAACCACAGAACCAATGAATATTTTTAGCTATATAAAAATAAACATATACCTTGACCCCACACTCCAGAAAAAAAATCAGAACACAAAGAGAAAATGGACTTGAATTTTAATTTTTTAAAGATTATCTATATATATATATATATAAAATGCAAAGAATAGACCTTCATGTTTAAATTATATTCTAAAATATAATTTATATATATATATATATTTCCATTAACTGCAGGAGACAACTGGCAAGTAAAGAGCCTGAGAGAGTCCAGTCCCTCTCCACCACTACAATGGACATATATTTCAAGGAAGCACCTATGAAAAATAGTAGAGTGTTCACAACACATCTGGTAACACAGATAGCTTCTGGGTGTTCTTGAAAGCAGTTTGTTTGCATTTTCAATTTGACATGAAATGAAGGGAAAAATCAAATTCATAAACAGAAATGACATTACTTAGAACAATCTAGTATTCTGTATTCATGTTTTACATGCCCTAGAGCCTAGTATTTTCATGCAGCAAGCTACACTCACATGTGCGTTAGTAACAGCTATCAGCTGCACGCCTCAAATGGTGATCAGCTCGTAGTGCAAGTGCTCTCTGCTCCTACCACTGCTGGTTGAGCAACACAGCTGGAACATCTGGTTAGAACTGAATTTTCCTTTCTTTAAAAATAAGTGAAATTTTTAAAAACACTGTAGCATTCAGCCCTGTTATACGTAGCTCAAGTTACATTTTGGCCTTAATATTAACTGAAAGGTCTTAATAACAAGGGGCTTATACTATCTGCTGCTTTCTTACGTATTTATGGCAATGGTGGCAAAAGGTTGCAAAAACTTAATAATAAAAAAAGATATATGACTGGATTTTTTCCTTTAAAGCAATCTAGGATATTTCAACAATTCAAATTCAAAAATTGATTTCTACAATGGCTTCAGCAGCCATTCACCCACATGTAGAAAAGATCCCTTGGCTTTGATTTGGTTTTATTACTCTTTTCCTTTTTCATAACTGGAAATAATTCCTATTTTAGAAAAGATATGTTCTATACATTGTGCCTGTGGCAACATATCAGTAATACTGGCTATGACAGCATTTTGCCTCAAAATGTCAATAATATGCTCTCCCTGAATCTGGGCAAAGTCAGTATTAAAATACAGATAAGCTGCAGATAATCAATTAGGCATAACATGTAAACTCAAAGGTCCATGGTCTCTTCTCTCCTTTAGTCCTGTTATAAAAACAATTTTGGTTACAAGTGTCTACACAGCACCAATTTTATTTCAAAAGCAGCATCTTTACTCAGCCACCCAAATGAATCTATAAGTACACATGCTCAAATAGCTTTTTGCATTAACTTCTGTCCTGTAACTCTAAAAGACCAGTAATTGTATTACATTTTTCTCTTAATCAAAAATTATTCAGCAATTATTAAAACCATCAATTACAATGCCGTAAAAATACCCATATTCGCTGAATTAAATGAGAAGCTCCCTTTACATGCAACTGTATAATAAGAGAATTATGCCCGCAGTTGATAAACACTGTGTTCTGTAATAACAGAAGAAACAGGTCTCTAATAGTAAAAAAGCATTTCATAAAACTTTGCCATATATAAAATATCTTATTAATTGTGACCATTCCACTTATGATTAAAGCATAACATAAGTGTTTGTTCTGCCTTCTGCTGTGGGACAGTCCAGGGTCATACAACTTCAAAAAATAAGAATGCATCTGTTTCCCAGGCGGACAAAAGCTTGGGGCTCAATTACACTGTTTCTCTCTCAAACTCGTCTGCACTCATGCATACATACACAAAGCACCTACAGTTTCAATCTTCATGACACTGTTGCCATACTTTTTTCCTACCAAAAGTCTGTCAGGAAAATGCGTTTGCAAAATAATTATTCTTGTCTATACCCAGCCTGCATCTCCATGGCTCATTTTTATGATTTTGAAAGATAATGTCTGCAGCAGAAGGAGAATAGGCCTTATTCATCTTTCTCAAACCCTTTGGTTTCCACCTTTAATGTTACACTGAATGTAGATTTGACTCAGTAGGCCTGGGTCAAAGGCTTTACAGATAACAAACCTGAAGTGCATTAAGAGAATAAACATCTGCCACATGGCACAGGAAAATTTAAAAAGTAGCGTTAATAAACACAACTCCTCATACATGAAGATTTTACAAGAGTCACCTAAAAATTTCATAAAAAAATTAAATTTGTAGGAGGGGTGGAATTATGTAACAAAGGTCAAAAGGTCAAATGCAATCAGATAATTGCATTCTTTGAAAAATACTTCACTTACACACTTGTATTTCTCAAGCTTCCCATCTATAAACATGGTGGACCGAGAAAAATACACATTAAAGAAAGGGATTACATCTGATTAACAAACGAATAGAAGAACAAACAAAAAGATTTCCAAGTAGGTAAGGAACTAGCTTTTACAGAAAAGTGCTTTAAATGTGCTTCTGCAAAAAATATGACTTGGAGGCAATTGTGAAGTTTTGACACTTATACTTTACTCATAGATTGGGCAGTTATACTTCTATGAGGCAACTAAATTGAAATGTAAAACAAAAGAATTGTTCAATTATTACATCACAAAGCCCCAGGGAAAACCTGAGCATAAAAGCTCCCTTTGATTAATGTTTCCCACTTTTAATGCAAAGTGCAAGAGTAAGGTCTTCGAATGGATGACACAGGTGGGAAAGTCATAAGCTCTTCCCCCACATTCCTCAACTTCATTCCCCACACACACCATAGATAGTTTGCGAGCTAATTCTCAACTCTCCTGGTGCACGTATCCAGGACTCTACTGAATTATTTATAAAGTCAGGCCTCAGTTCCCAATAGTTTAAAGTAATGAAAAAGAAAGACATGAGAAAATACATTCAATAAGCAAAAACAAAAGAACTCTAGAATCTGACATATTTCATGTTATGAAAATAATGGCTGACATAACGTACAAGGGACATTAAAAGTGAGTCAGTAACATACAAAGAGATCAGACTGTTCTGCCGGTGCTTCCAGAATAACTGCAAGTTTTCCTGGAGTTTTCACTCTACATCTATTCTTCTTCGAGGTTCTAACAGAGTTATAGCTTCTTACTGCGTACCTGAGATTAGAATCAGGTTGAAAAATGCTTAAAACACTTTCAATTATTTCAAAAGGGAGAAATGAGAACAAAAACATCACCCAGGTTGAGAAATAAGAATTATGAACAGAACAAAACTATTAGGTAAACCACACATCAAAATGAAAAAAAAATGGAACTGAACCAAAAAAGCCAAGGAGGGAGGGTAGCGGAAGGAAGAACTGGGAGAGAGAAGTTCTGGCCCTTCCTGTGAAGATTCCTTGTCCCCCCCGTTTAAATTCTCTAGGAGATCCTTCTAAGAGGCTACACTGTTCATGTTATCTTCACAAGTGTACCCAACAGTAACGATAATCAGGTGGCAGGCAAATCCCAGTGAACACAGTAAGAAGTCGGTGATTTCTTTGTCATCTTTCCTTACAGAGGGCACATACACTGGAAATGTGGCCAATTCCACTGGCTGAGCCAAGTAAATCTGTGGTAGAAAATACCAAAAATGGCCCCCTACCCACTCCAGGGGGGAAAAAATACAAAATCCCTCCCAAACCTAAACAGAACAAAACAAAACAAAAACAACCTCCTCCCTCCTAAAGAAAACCACATTAAAAACAAATGCCCTGCAACAAGTCCTTATGTGTACGTTTTCACAAGGCTGGTAGAGGTTATTTTGTTTTGGATTCCACGTAAATTTTATCTCCATCCCTAATGCCAAAAGAATGCAATGCCCGAGAGCTGTACTTCATTTCCTCTGGGCCAAAGGGTGCTTCATGGTCAAAATAGTAGAGAAGCATGTTGCTTGTGGGTAACTGTACCAGAGTTTTTAACTGTTTCTTTAGTTCTGCAACTGTTTGGTCCAGACGAATGCTCATTTCTTCCACCTGATCGTTAAAGTGGACTTCTACTTTTGCACTGCTCTGGGGTCTTAGGTCCACTTCTGCCAAAGGCTCCAACTTCCCATATTTTGTGATCAGTTCATGATACCTAGAAGGATTAAAAACAACAACACTGTCAGCTTAAACTACTAGCACATGTACTGTGGACTTCTTCCCAACTACAGATAAACAATATTACTAGGCTCAACATCTTTAAAAAATCTTACGCTATCATTATGATACTGTGCATTCTGTGACCTAATATGAGTACCCGAGGGAGGCCACTGTAAAACCAGGGAATCGTTTTTCCTGAAGATGGTCACATGCCTACTGTTAATCAATGATTACATAAGAATAGGCTTAGGAAAAAATGGAACCTAGAAAAGTAGACACTATAAAGATAATAGAAGTCCAATCTCTCTGTAGAACTTGCTTTCTTGGGTGTCATCACCAAGAAGTGCAGATATCCAGGCATGTATCTCTTGGGAATAGATGGAAAGACGGAGGGAGGCCAGCAGTTTCTGAGGCCTGGAGAAGCCATAACTTATAAAGAAAAACATGTAGTTGTATGTTAGCAATTAACCTAACTCTTTCAGAGATGCCTTGTTTGAATGTTCCAATCTAATTTCAGGTGTAATACATAGAATTTATGGAAGAATCAAGAATACATTCTTGGAAAAAAGTGGTAAATAAGGGATACACGTTTCTTGATCAAGGAAGGAAAACAGAGCAAAAGACACCAAGAGGAAAGTGAATTACAGAGATGAGAATAGGGCCCACAAAGGTCACGTTTCCCATAGAGAAAATTCTGTCTGCACTGCCAGCCCTGGAGGATCTAGATCCGATTTTATCAAGGACACTTACAAGTTTCCTACATATCAGAAAGGGGAAAAATGCTGAAAAAAATTAATATTAGTTTTATTAAAACCAAGATACAGTGAGGTCACTTTAATTAAGGATCAGAATACAAGTCACACAAAATTATCCCCCTACCTCCTCCACAACACTTTCAGCTTTAACTCAGTTAAAATCAATGTCCTAATAAGGTTTGTGGGTACATTAAACATACAGTGAGACCACTGTGGCCAGGAGTGCTGGCTCGCACCTGGAATTCTAGCACCTTGGGAAGCCCAAGGGGAAGAATCACTTGAGCCCAGGAGTCTGATCAGCATGGACAACACAGAGAGACCCCATCTCTTAAAAGAAAACAAAAGACTGCTGTGCTTAGAGACGGAAGTAATCATTTCTAATAAGTGGAATAATAGGGAACGCTAAAAATAGCCCTGGCTCTGTCTTCAGGGTCTTGACTCCATTTTATAATTGGCTGTGTGACTTGGCAACTCACTGTCTTTTTGGATCTCAGTTTCCTCATTAGTAAAATTAGGAATAATTTCTTCCCTTCCTACTGTATAAGACAGTCATAAGAACCAAATAAAATATCAAACGAGTAAACACTTTGTAAATTCTATGTTCATAAACAAATAAAAATATTTACATTATATTACTGCTGCTCTGAAGCTTATTTTAAAGCACATACACCCATTAAAACATATAAGATTGCTGGACACAGTGGCTCACACCTGTAATCCCAGCACTTTGGGAGGCTGAGGCAGGTGGATCACGAGGTCAGGAGTTCGAGACCAGCCTGGTCAACATGGTGAAACCCTGTCTCTACTAAAAATGCAAAAAATTAGCCAGGCGTGGTGGTGCGCGCCTGTAGTCCCAGCTACTCAGGAGGCTGAGGCAGAAGAATCGCTTGAACCGGGAGGTGGAGGTTGCAGTGAGCTGGGATTGTGCCACTGTACTCCAGCCTGGGTGACAGAGTGAGACTCCGTCTCAGAAAAAAAAAAATGCACACATATATATAGATATAGATACATGAATGATTGAAATCTACTTAGGTGGGACTTCAAGATGTCAGGATTTTAGCAAAGGCAAACAAAACAAAACAAAGCAAAACAAACAAACACAAAGCTGCCAGGACTTGAAATTTTCCAAGGCTCTAAACTGAAAAGGTAAGATGATTCAAAGTCTAGGGGTATCTTTTCCCCACCCCATATCCTAGTATATGCCTTCAAATAACTGAAACTAGGTTACGAAAATTTAACAAAATCTCAGAAAAGACAGCAGAACCCAGTGGTCAAATAAGAACTGAACTCAAGTCTAGAGATGTTTTACCTTCAGACTATAGAAAAGTAAAATTGTAATACCCTAGCTCTTTTGCCTAGGAGTAACAAAAGAAACAATGTCAAAGTGTTCAAAGAGAATTTACTCATACTACATTTCAGCAAAGAGATGACATGAAGAGAAGTGACCACTTCAAGCACAAGCAAGATGATGAGACACAAAATAGCAACAGAGCACATACCACAGCAAAAAGAATAAAGGAGAGGAACACATAATAAGTAAAAGACAGAGGCAGAACTCAATCTGAGAGAAAACACAACTGAAGAAAAAGAAAACACTCCACAAAACTCAAAAGTCTAGAAATTACTAAGTACTTCAATATAAAACCAGCACTCAAAGATAAATGATAAACTGTAGAATGAGATGAAAATGGAGACTGCAGAGCTAAAGAAACAAACTGAAGAGCAAAACACCACCGACACAGACCCAAATAAATGAATTAGAAAGAATGGCCCCAAAATATTATACCTAACCTAGTGCTTTGGTTTGAATGTGCTCCCCCTCACCAAGCTCATGTGCTGGAAACTTAATACCCAGTGCAACAGTGTTGACAGGGGGCACCTTTTAGAGGCGACTAGGTCACAAGGGCTTCATGAATAGACTAATGGTGTTACAGAGGGAGTCGGCTAGTTATCCTGGCAAAAGTGAGTTCAGCCCTCTCTTGCTCTCTTGTCCTTCCTCCTTCCATCATGGATAATACAGTAGGAAAGCCATAGCCAGATGCTGGCACCTGATACTGGATTTTCTAGCCTGCAGAACTGAGAAATAAATTTATTTTCTTTATAAATTACCAAGTCTGTGGTATTGTTATAGCAACACAAAATGAACTAAGGCACCACGTTTTTTCCAGAAATAAATTTAATAAGCAGATATTCTAAAATGAGAAATAAGAAATAGAGCACCATGAGTCCTTCTGGTAAAAAACAAAAACAAAACCCCACTACTCAACACTGAGATTAAAGAACTAGGGATAAGCCCTGAATCTATTTAAATATAAAACCAAAACACAGTAACAACTGTATACTCCTAGACTCATTCATACTTGACATTATAGCCAACTGAATTAATCTCAACCATAAACATATTTGTACACAAAATTATGACCTACATTCAGAAATCAGCCTATCTTCAATAAATGGGCAAGTACATCTAAAAATTAAATGACCTATAAATTCAGACACTCTGAAGTCTTAGTTTTCTCAAAATCAACATGTTCAAAAACAACTGCCAGTCCCCAACTGTATTCTCTTCTAGTCTTTCGTATCTCAGTAAGTGGCACTGGAAACTATCTAATTATCCTAGCCAGAAAGTGGACAGTCATTCTTATTTATTTCTCTCCTATCTCTTCTCTACTTCTCTCATTCAATCAATTACCACATCCCACTCATCTTCCTACATATCCCATGAATCTATCTGCATTTCTCTTGTTCACTCACCTTATAAATTCAGGCCACTATAATTAATAACCTAGATTGCTACAATTTTTTGTGGCTGCATAAACTAGATGAGCTTTCTCAATATCTGTTTCACCCTCCTCCTGGTAGGCCTTCCTGTATTTCAAAGATGGAAAAGCTGAAAAATACATTTCCCATACTCTGTTGCCAATGAGATTTAGCTTCTATCAATCACAGCCCTGGAGAGAGGCAGTAGATCTAGTAGATCTAGTGTGGAAACAGTTTGGGTAGAGGCTTCCAAATTACTAGATCGCACAGTTCAAGCAGTCTGTTTCTAGAGTCAACGACCCCAGCAGCAGCTTGCTGATCTCCAGATCACAGTTAAAGTGATGTGATCAGCACCAGGGACAGCAGCTTGTGAATTTTCCCTTTACTTGATTCCTTACAAAGGTGAGCAGTGCCCTTGGTGGGCCAGTTCCATGGTACTACTCTAGAGTCAGTCCTAGAGAGGAGGCCTAAGTCTGCTCCTCCAGCCCTTCCACAGATTTTGTAAGCACTTTATTCACTGTCTGAAATCCCTTTCTTCTTAAAAAAGCTAATGGCTTTCCATGATCTCAGGGTGGCCCAAGACAATTCTTGTCTTTATGATAGCCACAGGGTTTGTTATAAAGCACAAATTGTATCCCATCACTCCTCTACTTAAAATCACATAATACCCACCAAAATAAAGTCCTAACTCTTCAACATGATTGTGGTAGGCAGAATTTTGGCTCCCATATCTGGGTAGGCCTAATCTAATCATATGAGCCTTCAAAAACGGAGTTTCCAACTAGTAGCAAAAGAGGAAGTCAGAGACAGTCAAAGCACCAGAATTTGACACACCATTGCTGGTTTGAAGATGGCACACATGGAAAGTGTAAGAGAGAAGAGAATTCTGCCACCATTCTGACTGTACCTGCAAAGAGATTCTCCTCCAGAGCCTCTGATATAGAAAATAGTCCTGCTGACATATTGATTTTGGCCTTGTGAGACCCTAAGCAGAGAACTTAGCTGAGTCACACTGTGCCCAGACTTCTGTCCCACAGGACCGTGAAATACTAAGTAGGTATTGCTTTAAGCCGTTATGTTTATAGTAATTTATTATAGCAGCAATAGAAAACGAATACAGTAAGCATAAAAAGCCCTTCATGATCTGGTTCCTTCATAACTTTCCAACCTTATTTTGTGTCATCACCATTACCATTTTCTGCACCTTCCTTTCCACTTGTTAAAATCTTAAAATCAATGTTTATTTATTAATTTATAGGTAAGGCCAGCAGACTTTTATAGATGGGTTAGGCTTTGGATGAGGGCTTTGAGAAATATTCACTATTAAATAAAAAAGAAGCAAGTGTACTAGAGTTGTGATTCACTATACATACTGAATATGTTCCCTTAAAAGCTACATAAATAAAAATCATGGTTTCAAGATAATCTGTTTTCTCCCAATTTTCTTATTTTCCACTTATCTTTAAGCAGGAAAAATTAG